CCCAGGGTGCACCACGTGGAGGTAAGTCTATCGCACACCCCAAGTTCCAAATATAAGACAGAGAAAAAGTCAAATTCACCCATTTCGATATTATGAATTAAGTAAATGCGGGGCTTTTATCAGTCAGATGAATTCAGAATCACGGTAAAGCTAATAAAATTTAAAATCGAAGGATTAGATACTTAAATTAAAACATTAGAAAAAGCAAGCATGAAAAATCACATCAATAGATTCAAAGGTAGGGCCGGTGAGATTAGTTAAGCGACATGATTCCTTACAAAAATACATAAAATTTGAAAGAAAATAATTATAAAAATTTCAGCAAAATTGAAATCAAATACAGGGTAATATTTTTGGAGCAATAAATTGGGAAAGCTGTTCAGGGCAAACCATGAAAATACTTTACAGAATCCCAAAAGGAATATATTTTATAGGTATTGACAATGAAATGGACTTTTAATTGGCATATTTAAGTTCTTTGTAGCATTGAAGCAATTATAATTATTTAAGAATAATATTTAATCAAAGATAATTGGAATCTTTCCTCATTCTAGGATGACCTTGACAATGGGCCCGCGGCCATTGCAGCGGCACGGGCAGAGACCGCATCTGTGCGCTCTGAGTTGGCCAATCAGCATGCAGAATGCCAAGCATTAAGCGCCAAACACCGGCATCTTGAGAACCTTGTCCGTGAACTTCAACGCGATAACGTTGAACTTCGTGAACAGATCAATAGGGCTGAAGCTGAGGACGAAAACTCCCTCACTGAGAGCGACAAATACACCAGGGCTCAATCCCTGCGGGTAAGATGAACTAAGGACCTTGAAATCATACACTAATTATATAATTTTTCTTGTTTTTAAAGGAAAAATAATTAATTTCTCTTTTCACGAATAATTAGTCAAGGCAATTTTAATATTTGGCTACATTTCAGGTCAGTTCTTTCCCCACATTTGCTACCAAAAAAGAATTTGGAGCATCAGAGTGTATCTATTTTATTCTACACGGATGAATAAAGGCTGATATTAAACTCAAACTCCAAATGAAATTTATTTTTATTTTAAATATTAGCCCTAGGCAGCAAGAAATACAATTTTATCACCAGTTTTCAACATTTCTGCTGAGTGACTACAACATTTCCTTCTTTCAAAAGGTTTAAATAAACTACATTTCCAATGCAATACCTAATTGCATATTCTTCTCAATTTGCTGTTTTAAGCTTGTGCAAATAGATGTGCGCATACCAGAAGAACAAAAAAGATTCAACTAACAAGGGTATAATTTAAATTCCTCCAACGTAAAGTTTTCTCGTCGGAGAATTCACATTCTGAAGTATTTCGGCTGAGTTTTTCTTGAGTAGACTCAATCTTGGACACACGACTTAACACGAGAACATAGTGGGTTTGCCAACTGCAACAAATACAAAGGGAATATTCATTCAAGTAAATGAGCCGGATATTACGAGTAGAAACGTGCACAAGGTAGGGGGTCCACTGTGGTCACTGGTAAAATATTGTGGGTTATTTTTGGAAATGCCTTAGGATAATTAATAATTTATGGCACCAATAAACTTCCTTCTCCTAAGAATCTTTTATAGCGCAAAATCACCTCCTCTAGCCCGTCTACCCAATAAGATAGTTTAGGAGAACTCACTGAAAAAAAATGTCGACCACTTTATTGCGTGCTTAATGCAATTGGTGGTGAGTTAATAGAAAGCAACCCTAAAAATAATTTTGTGGAATTATTGGAATTCCTTAATTAGAAAAGCTTCATGCTTTGAGTATAGCTATGCGCAAAGTTCAACTCCTACATTTGACAGACGTATGCATTGCGGTTGACAATTGTATTTACTGATGTCTATTAAATCCATTACCTGACTTAGAAGATGACCACGTTAGAGTGACTATTCTACAGACTTTGGTCATTTGAATTTTATTGATTGCTTTAGTTGACTTTGTTCATTGGCAGAGTCGTTTCAGATGCAAGAGGAGAACAGTAGTAATTTTGTTTTAAAACTATTAACTTAGCTGACTGAATCGATATTAGATTTGTGATCTACTTAATTGGCATGATTTAAGCCCTAAGCAACACACCATGATCACTCATGTACAATACTTAATCCAAGTGCTTGAAGAAAAATGGCCAGAATCTAGTTGCCATAGAAAGTTAAAACACTGATTATATCTCCTTGAGTTGTAAATGAATTTATATTCTAGATAGTTTGGCATTACACAACTAACTATAATAAATATAAGCCCATTCGATTTGTAACTCTTGGGAAGATAATGAGTAAATATTAGAAATATGGCGTAATTTTAGTGCCTTTCCTCAAGGCTGAAAAGGGATTTGAACTGACTTCAGGTGGTTGAAGATACTACAACAAGGCTTCATACGAAACTGATTGTTAAAGCTGGAATGCGCTCTCAAGTTGCAAAAAAACCTACTTTGTATATTTAAGGATGAAATTTATATTGAAATATCATAATTAATATTTATTACGAGCAATTTTAGGCATTCTGTTACTTAAAGCTCGATAAAATTATCCAGTGTCAATTTGGTTATAACCCACTGTGTCTTATAAACATTTGCGAAGCCTTTCGAATAGCGCTATTCCATTAAAAAAATTTTAAATGATTTAAATTATTTAATTTCTTAAATTAAACATAAGAAGTTAAAATGTTTTTTTCCTGTAGAGCTCACCAAATGCAAATTTTGCGAAAAGAGTTTAGTTCAAAAAATGTCCATGCAACTTTTTATCTGATTCGAATTTGCTCAATATTTATTTATATAAATGGCAGGCGTTCTGATAGTTATCATTAGCCCTTTAGTTGACTTCAGGCTTCACAGAGGGGAAGGAACATCAAAGTGGAAAAAAAGTCGAGGGGGGGGGGGAACAGAAGAGTGCTTCATAGACGAAGGTAGAAAAAAGGTGAGGTGAGTACTATGGAAGTAGTCGAATATGGCATAGAGTGAGGTGATGGTAGTTAGAAGTGAGAAGTCAACTGCCGCTTAATAGCCTTTTTGTCGCATGAGTATACGTTGGCCAGGGTGCACCAAGTGGAGGTAAGTCTATCGCACACCTCACTTTGCTCAATATAGTTGAGATGGTTTTTTTTAATTAGGCTAGTTACTCAAATATGCGAATTGTTCAGTAAGGTGGATAGGCTTTTGCATGAATGAATTCCTAATGTCATTGCAGTCACAACTAACTTACTTAAAACTCAGTTAGATTTAATTATATTGGCATGGGTTGCACTCAAATGGCCATAATCAAAAATAAATCTTTTTGAGAAAGGGCAGAATATTGTTATTGGTTATTACTTTCAAGGTTGAATTGGCGGCGAAAGTGGAACAGATTGCAGTCTTGGAGGAGCGCTTGGCAAAAGCGGAAGCCGCTAACGATGTTCTCAATGCTCAACTCAAGTCTAACCAGGTTAGAACTCACACATTCTCTAAGAGGAATTATGTTTGTTTTAATATAATGAAGTTTATAGTGGCGATAATGCCAATACACGGGAGAATGCCTATCCGTTCGATGTTATAAATTTAATTATTTGCCATATAATGCAACAATTAGTATAGTTTATTTAAATTATATATATTTATATTGTAATTAAAAAATAATTTTATAATTCGGACAAGTATTTATAGCTCATTTCAACAATAACTTCACATATCTCTCATCTATTTTCTACTGCATTTGTGCGTGTTTTTGCTTATTTCTGTTGGCAAAATAAGAAGTTAAATTAATAAAATTTGTACATCTTGGTTTTACACTTTCACAGGGCTGTCTTTAGTGTTATGAGAAACCCGTAGACTCAAGTTGTATATAAATTTATAAAATTAAAAGCATAAATATATTTTTGGCAACTTTTGGCGTTTTGAAGAGTGGCTTTGTTATTAAAATCTTTTTTCCTTTTTCCTTCACTCAATTGGGAGCGGGTTTGATTTAATTTGACAATGTCATCATTGGGCACCCTGTTGAAAAATTCTGTTCTGCTTTTTGTGGGTTGTACACCAGCAGCATGAATAATATAAATGCGTTTTCTTCATCTGGTTTTGTCCTTGAAAGTCAATCAACCAAGAGACTAACTGTTAACGCCTACGTCGAAGGTTAAAGCTTAATCTAATGCGTACATAAATCATTAACTATGTTTAAGCTGCCAGCAGATAGAAACCAATTTATTTCTTCCTAAATAAACCACTTAAATTAGCAGTTCTTGCATAAGTATATGTATACAGCAAGGATTTAAACAAACATGGAAATTCAGAAATGAATGGCGTGCGAAAATATAGGCATCTTAACATTTATTTGCATAAGATACCTTTTGAAAAAACGGATATAAATTAAGTAGGCAGATTGGCCTAGCATAGGATGGTGAATTATCAAAACATTATTAACAGTTGCTTCATTGAAACTTTTGTTCTGACTTCCAAACTTAACAAATTCGAATGCCATAAGATGGAAGGATACTGTAAATATTTAATTTTGCATTCGAGAAAACACAGAGCATAAAATGGCCGTAAGGTGAATAAAGTTTTAAGGTGGAAAAATCGATAAATGTCTGGTTGATAAAAGTTGACTTAATTAAAAGGTTTGGATAAGGAGTTGAAATTGGTGGAGGGAAATTACTCTTTACCCTGTGACAACACCAAGCATATCTTACAGATTACTTTAAGTGAATTGTTTTGAAGAAAATAGGCAAATATACACATTCGAAATCTGCAAACAACTAGATTAATTAATGGTTTAAGTCAATGAAATACTAATAGTTTTCACTAGCCCATTAGCTGACCTCGGACTTGACAGAGGGGAGGAGGAACATCAAAGTGAGAAAAATAAGAGAAGGGGAGCAGAAGGTCCATTCACAGAGGTAAAAGAGGCAGACAGACACAAAGGCAGAGAAAAGGTAAGTCGAGTACTGTGAAAGTGGTGGAATATGCCATACAATGCAGTCATGGTATTTTGAGGTGAGAAGTCAACTGCCAGTCAATTAGTTTTTTTTGCGTATGAGCGTACGTTACCCAGGGTGCACCAAGTGGAGGTAAGTCTATCGCACACGCCTGACCATGAAATATAATATGATGCTTTATATGGACTTGATAAAAGCAATATTCGTGCTTTTATAGACATCAGGGCAAGCCACTGAAAATAGCAGAACAGAAGATGAGGTCTCTCAAGGTCTTCATCTGACTGCCCATGTGGCACAGCAATTGGCGACCGAATTGGAAGGTATCGACGTTCTGAATGCAGAGAGCCTTCTTGAATCAGTTCGGAATCTCAAAAGGTACAGTTTCTATGGCAAATGTGTTCAGAGAGCAAATACTTACTTGGCAATGATATGCCAATAGAAAAATCCGAAATATCAGATTTGCAAATTAAATTCCACAAATTTCATGTTAACTAATTTTATTAGTTCAATTTCAATAAGGAAATCATA